CGGCAAGGCTGCTCCTCGGCCCCGCTCCGGGCAGGTGGGGCTGCTCCTGCTCTCCCTCGGCCGGCCAGGAGGAAGGTAGCCCCGAGTCCCCCCTGGGTCCCCGGAGGGTGGCTGAGCCTGCGAGGATCCCGGGTGGATGCAGGGCTGGACGGGGAGCCTGCGGGGAAAGGGGGGGGGTCGCCCCACGGAGGGAAAGGGGGGGCTTTTACTTTTAAGGATTGGGGGGGGAATATGGGGTGATGGAAATAAAGACCCGCCTTCTCCCTTCAATGCGGGGGGAGGCTGGTTCAAGGAGGAAAAAAGTTTAAATTGTTTGAATTGAGCTCATGTTCTCCCAACCCAGAAAAGATTCACTTTTCTTTCTGTTTAATCGGTGGGTTTTATCAATCAGAATAGAGCTGGAAGGGACCTTGGAGGTCTTCTAGTCCAACCCCCTCCTCAAGCAGGAGTCCCTATACCATTTCAGACAGGTGGCTGTCCAGTCTCTTCTTAAAAGCCTCCAGTGATGGAGAACCCACAACCTCTGAAGGCAAAACTGTTCCCCTGGTTAATTGTCCTCACTGTTAGGAAGTTTCTGCTTAGTTCCAGGTTGCTTTTCTCTTTGATTAGTTTCCATGCATTGTTTCTTTTCCTGCCTTCAAGTGCTTTCGAAAACAGGTGGACGCCCTCTTCTTTGTGGCAGCCCCCCAATATTGGAATATATTTATCATGTCACCCCTGGTCCTTCTTTATTCTAGACTGCCATAAACAATTCCTGCAACTGTTCTTCACATGGTTTTGTCTCCAGGCCTTTAATCATTTTAGTTCCTCTTCTTTGCCCTTTTTGCAGGGTCTCAATATCTGTTTTGTAACGTGGTGACCAAACCTGGATGCAGTATTCCAGGTGTGGTCTTACTAATTTACTTGCTCTTTATAAAGTTATACTAATCCTTCTTGTGATTTTGATTCTACGACTCTTGTTTATACAACTAAGGATTTTATTAGCTTTTTTGGAAGCTTTTGCACACTGCTGGTTTATGTTTAAATGATTCGCCACTCAACGCTAAGGTCCCTCTCGCAGTTAACTGTTTTTGAGCCAGGTTTCGCCTAATCTGTATTTGCAGCTTTGGTTTTTCCTGTCTACATGTAAAACCTTGCTTTTCTCCACACTAAATTTCATGTTATTAGATAGGGCCCATTGTTCAAGTCTGTCAAGATCTTTCTGAATCCTGAGCTTGTCTTCTGGGGTGTTGGCTATTCCTGCCAGCTTAGTGTCATCTGCAAATTTGATGACTTCCCCTTTTATTCCCTCATCTAAGTCATTTATGAAGACTTTGAGAGTACTGGGCCTAAAACAGAACCTTGTAGTACCCCACTGCTTAC